GGAGCCAAGAAGGGGAAGAAGCAGGAAAAAGTTGATTCTCTGTGCTTGAAACTAAAGAAACAGCGAATAGAGGAACAAATACGCAAAATTGCCCTCAATAACTGATGTAACTGTGTAAAAAATAAATGAAAATAAATTCTTGGGCATTTTTACATGTTTTGAATATTTATTGTGGTCAATATTTCAGTCGAGTCCAAAGCAGAGTTCGAAGAGGTAAAAAAAAAGAAGAAAACGCAAAAAAAAAAAGAGGAAAAAGGCCAACAAGGATTTTTTTTTTATTTCTCCCAAGCTGGTGGCAAAGCTTAAATTCAAAAGGGGGGGAGGGGGAAGGGGAAACCTGTAGGAATATTGGGAAAAACAAACATCCAGGCAACAAAATGCAAACAGGAAGCACGTGGGTAATCCCATAACCCCAAAAACCCCCACCCGCGGGGAGCGGACGCATCCGAACGGCCGCACTTTGCCCCCGGAAATTATTAATAAAAATAATTTATTAATATATTTTTTTTAACCCCATGAGGGGGTTCTTACCTTATATTCCTGGGCGGCCTCTTCGACGGGAACCACGGCGTGGAAGCGGTGAGCCTGGGACCTGTCGCACACCACGCAGATGGGGCACAGGTCCTCCTTGCAGAAGAGCTTGAGAACTTCCCGGTGCTGCCGGCACAAATCCTCCCATCCCGTCATTCCTCGCTCTGCCCTCAGGCTCAGCCGCCTGGCGATGTCAACGATGTTGGCCAACTCTCTGCTGCGACGGAAACTCTTCTGCGAAGCCGTCTGCCGGCACCGCGGGCAGGAGAAAGGTCCTTCCAGTCCTTCCCAGCAACGGGTGATGCATGACCGGCAGAAGTTGTGGCCGCAGTGGATGGAGAGAAGTAACCCAGGCAGATGGAGCAAGAGGCTTCATCGTGTAGGCTTTCCACCGGGTTCTGTGCAGCCATGGCTCTTCCCAACCCACCTCCGGGATAGGATCCGATGAGCTTCGCTCCGCGGGAAGAGGAGGAGGACGTTCCTCCTCCCGGCTTGGCCGTTATCTCGTTGTGGACTGGGGGGAAGTCAACTCCCAGCCCTCATGCCACGAAACGGCGGCGCGGAGAGGAGGGAGGAGGGGGCAAGCGCGTGCGCGGGGGCTTCCTCCTGGCCTCCTTCCCAGTTTCCCACCAGTTTCGGTTCAGTTGGCTTTCCGAGGCAGATGTGAGTTGGCAGATAGGAGGCTGGAGGGGGCACGCTGCTCTTCTTGGACGGGCTGGAGAAGTGGTTGGGGAGAAACATCAAGAAGCACGGGGTGAGGACACCCTCCTGCAGCAGGACCAACCATGGAACAGGACTTCAGGGTCTTGGAGGGGGGTGACAAGTTGTCCACGGGTCAGCGGTGGGGCCGACGCACCGAAGATATCAACCCCATATCTTGGGGCTGCAAGAGCGGAGAGGGAAGGGATCGCTCCTCTCCACCAGCACGTGTGAGGTCATATCTGCGCACAGGGACCAGTTTGGACCAGTAGGAGGCAGACAGGGTCAAGCCACCAAACTGAAGCTCAGGATGGACGGGGAGAGATTGGGATTATCCCCCTTGGATTGGGATTTGTTTGCGATTACCTCCCCCTTCTTTTCTGGTGGTTTCGTTTAGTTTTAAAACAAAACTCAAGGAGATTCCAGGGACCTGTGGAGTAGGAGAAGGGCTGAGCATCTCCTTTCTTTTTTTTTTTTTTCCCTACCGATTTTCTGCGGAGTTGATCTTGAGAAAGGACCCACATCCCAGAGGAGAGAGCCATTTACGGCTGCCGGATAAACAAACCCTCATGAGGCTCAGCAAACCCCCCAGCACTGGAAATTGTGAGGTTAAATGGTTGGATGGGGACGGTGGTGGGGAGACATCGTACACATCTGTTTCTTACTCTTCTCTAAGCTTCTGCTCGTGGCCGAGTCCTGCAGGAGACGACCCCTCGGTCATCCTACATCCACCTCTTCCTCAGGGCACGTGATACCACCTCAATAGTTGGCATCAAGAGGATGGGGGAGTCTCTACAGGTGGTTTATCCCACAGCCCAAAGGTTATGGAGGTATCTGCACCCATCAAGAGCAGCAACTTCTCCCATTGGAAAGGATGGGAGAAGGGTAGAAGGGATTAAAGCCGTGAAATGCCGGGGGGTTGTTGCATAGAGGCTTCATTCTCCTGCTCGTTCCAGGGTGATATTCCCCAGAAAAATCTTGGAGAGTACCCAAACGTTAAAAAAAAAAATCCAGAGGTCTGCCCAAGGTGATCCCTTCTCAACCTGCTGCTCTTGAAAACCCCGTGAGAACCAGACTGCAAGCGGACACCGGGTCTCGTTTGCTCCACTTTATTCTTTACCGTTCATAGAATCCCAAAGTATAAAGTGATTTCCTGGATCAAACCAAAAGTTTGTTCAAAGCTTGTCGTGTCCACCTCGCTGCCCATCCTGTCTCAAGGAGTCAGCTGGATCCTGGACTCCCAAACCCAGAAGAAAGGCAGGATTTTCTCTCCGTTGAAAGAAGTGGGAGGAAAAGCGAAAGCCAAGGTCTCGTTATCGGCGTCGCAGAAAGCCACGTGTCCCTTCTCGTAATCCAGAGAGACACGGATAGTCCTCGGCCTCCCACTCAGAGGCTGAACGGTTTCGAAGGAGGTGAAAGCTTGAAACCTGTCCCCGCAGATGCCAACAGCCCAAATCCCCTGGGAAGGGTCAAGGTTAATCCAACCCTTTCTCCACGCCGAGTCTCTGGCCACCCCCACAGCCCAAAATCCCCGGCTCCCCAGCTGCGCTTCCCAGAAGTGCCTCCCCGCCGTGAAGCCTTCGCAACCCAACACGGAGCAGTAGGTATCAAATCTCTGGGGGTT